ATAAGTCTCAAAGGAGCGCTATTGTTTTCGCTATTGTTTAGTTAAACAAAGAACTGTATGCATAATAAATGTATGGGGTTATACGGAAATCTTGCCCAGACGCATAAAAAACTGACGTCAATTTGTTAAATACAGGGTATAAAGCATCCAAATTAAACTTGTTTACTTAAGTGATAGTCATGTGTCAATCACTATGTCACAGAACACCAAAATGATGTCACATTTCCAAAATGTCAGCCATCTTGGCTCTCAAAAAATTTTCAATTCAGTCAGGACAGCTCCAAAACTGATTAAAAAAGAAAGAGAAAAAAAGGCAGGAAAAACATAAGGATACAAGCTCCGCTAGGGCCAAGTTTCTTACCCACTGTGTAGCTGTGCATTATTTTCTTACAAATAGTCGGGGTTCCACATACCTTGCAAAAAGTCTTTCCTTCCAGAAATGCTCGATTGTATTAAACACATGACCACGATCTGCAAACGAGGAAAACCAATATTTATCAGTCCTCACACGGACTGTTATAGCCGAAAAAAATATGGACGTAGTCTCTTTTTTGAGCTCGAAGAAATTCTCGAAGTAGATCCGAAAATCGAGGCCGCTCGTTCCTCCTTTATCTTCTATAAAGCGTATACAACGGGTGTAAATGACAAGGTGACCATAAATCCACGTTTTGCTACCATTACAATAATAAGACGCCTTCCATTCGTCCACTTTCCCCATGTTAGAGCGACTGTTAGAACCTTTCCGACACCTTTTCCCATCAAAACAAGTCTCAAAACAATGGAATGAAACGCTGACATTGAGGCCAGCGGTACTCAACTTCCGTAAAATCGACAACACCCGAAAACTTTCCGAAGTTTGTCGAAGTTTTCCGTTCATTAGCGGGATATCACTGAGTTGAACCAAATTGTTTTTGCACTGCATGTAACTACCATCTGGTTTTTCTTTCTTCTTTTTCGTTTCGTTTTGCAGTATGACTGATACGACCTCTTACAGTGGAGATGAATATACGGACGAGGACGAGGAAGAAGAAGAGGAGTTAGACCCTCGTGTACAGGTATGCTAAATTCCGGCGAAGTAAGCTAAATTTTTCATGCCATCTTGTCTTCAATATCGTGCTCTGTGTACAAATTTCAGGACGAGCTTGAGAGACTGAATGTGTCTGCCAACTCAATAAACCATTTGGAAGCTGAACTTGATGTAAGTGTGGATAGTTTTCCATTCTTTGTTTAGTTTTACGGGATACGAGTGATTGATTTAATTTCTTTGTTTATATTGTCAATTGTAATGAAAATACAGCCATCTCAACGTCAGCTTGAGCTTTGAGCTTTTTCCACTGACGTTAACACCATTCGTGTATATTTCAATTTTCGCAGTTTCCATGGTTTTCCTCCACAACCTGAAGACATCAATCTGAAATCCACAAAATGTATTCACTAGTCTGAGCTAAAATGTATCTATGGGTGTGGTCCTTGTCTGATGGGCATGCACAAAAAAAAATTTGCATTTACAGACTTGAGTATCTGTCAATTCAAAATTTCAACATACCTCCCCCTCATTTTCTGGGAAACCCTAAGGCATATGAGACTTTGAAGCAAACTCTCATCCTTCAGCCAAAAGTTGTGGTTCAATGCCCAGGCACTTCAGGGTCAGGGGAAGATGTGTTAAAACTAAAGGCATCCACAGTTGAGTGGTGATCAAAATCCTTGACAGTCGATCCATATCTCAATGGATGCTCAATCGACATCTTGATTGACACTTGATTGACAGGCGGTCAATAGTTGGCTGAGTGTCAACTGACTCAAATGTATCAATCAACACTCAATGGTGTGTCTGTGAAAATTAGTTGACTCTAAACTGACTGTTGACTGAGATGTCGATCGATTGTCAACTGAGTAGTGATTGAAATGTCGAACAATTGTCAATGGAAATGTCGATCAAGGATAGCAATAAACACTTGTCCGTGGATGCCTTAAGTACACATGATTTGGGTCTTGATAGGCAATCAAATTCCCCTGCACCTGGGATGTTCTTGGAAAAATTGACTGAGAGAACACTAATTTATGCGATAGAAATAAAGTTTGAACATACTTTGACACACAAATATTTATAACAAAATTTAATATTGTAGCTTCAAATGCAGCATGCAGCTTTTTCAGGCCATTTTTTTTCATCTTTCCTAATGTTATATTTCTCTGATCTTTGCAATTTCCACCATGATTTTGATCAAGGTAAAACAAAGCAAGAGTTCTTTGAAATACTCATTCCCTCCCATGTGGTGTCAAATATCACATCCCAATTACCCTCTCCCCTTGTCAGATGATAGCTCTTCAGAGGTTGGTCTTGATTTCCCCCAATTTGTTAATACTTAGATGTCATAAATTCAAAACCAAGCAGTAACTAATATTCAGAAAACATGTACATGTATGTACAGTACATGATCTCTCTAGTGCTAATCTCCATTGGTATGGGTTTTTTTTGATACAAATCTCAAACGTCTCTTGTGTGGGTGAAACAGCCATTAGCATGTAGTTATATTCTGTCAAAGGTTTGTGCTGATTGGTTTATTTTTGACATGTCAAACAACCAGAAGTGCTAGGAGGCTTTCAGCACTGGTGGCATTCAAAAGTCTGAGACATCCAGAAAAGCTCACCTGCCCTCCATCTGCTTTTCCAAAACTTGTCGACAGAGCTTGTCTCGCTTTTATTGAATTCCTGTTTCCTGCTCGAGTCCTTTCTTCTAGAAAGTAGTGGGTAAAACGCTGTTCTGTGAACTTTACAATCAGCAAATCATGTTAGAACTACATTGTCATGTTCTATACTTGTAGGAGGCCAGAGCTGTGTTCCGCCAAACCATGGCTGCTGCAACTTATCATTTAAATGCCCAGGCACAGAAGCTTGGAAAGTGTATAGACAAGGCTCGACCTTTTTATGATGTGCTGAGAGAGATGCGAAAGGTAGGAAAATGCAGAACGTTTTTAGAATAGCTTATGATGATTCGGTTTAGTGGCCTTCTAGTAAGTGCCCCCTTTGTAATAAGCAATTTGTTAGAAAGCACCCCTATTCCAATAACTGTCATCTTCTAACACTTTAATCTTTCAGTTATGCTCTGTCATGAAAAATGTAATGCTGGTTTTCATGTTACCTTCAGTTGTCTAACTGTATTTTACATTGTTGTTCATAGGCTCACTTTGAGTTACAAAAAGCAACACTACAGTTTGAAAAAGCAAACAGCAGGCATGTTTATGCACGGCAGAGAGTACATGAGGCTGAACAAAGAGTGTTTGGTAGTGGAGAGAAAAGAGCATTTGATACTGCACTACAAGAAATGCTTAACCAGGCAACACTTGAGGTAAAGACTGCAGTAAAGCGTGAAGTCTAGAATAAATATTTCTGATTGATTTAC